TCCTTCTCTTTTGTCGAACCTTTTCCCGTCCGACTGTTTTATCGTACACAGATCAGTCGCCTGTATATAGGCTTCTGCTTCAATCAAGGCCTCTTGAAGAGTCGCCACCCTTTTTCGAACTAAATCAAATTTGAAGGTAGACCCGTCTTTGAGACCTCTAAAAAAGTCAGTATAAGCTACCTCATCCGGTAACCCTTGAATCTGTATTCTCATCAGGTTGAACCGCCTGATGTAAGAACGAAGCCCCTCCTTCTCGCCCTGCTGAATTGTTCCCAAATCAAGAGTCGTTTTCTTCGCAGGTATGTTCATGGCGAAGTTGGAGGCAAATAAGTAAGCAAGCGTCCTGAAGCTGTTTACACAACCAGTCGGCAGGTTGCCGAACCATTGCTGTGCGATTCCCTTGAGAGTCGCTGGGAAACACTTGCACCAAGTGGGATTATCCAACCCTTGAAGGTACATCAGGTTGGTGAATGCCATCAGATGGTCTTCTGGGTTAGTAGTGCCGTCATAGGCGCCTACTAGTACATTTTTTACTTTGGCCGGCTGAGCGGCTTCAGTAATTTCCTTGGAGAAGGCCGACGGCTGTTCACCAAGTCTAAGAAATCGTAGCTGCCAGTCCATAGGTTGGACGTTTTTTGCTGCAGGTCCACCAAATGGAGGTGGCTGCATAAAATACTGTTGTTGCGGCACAAATGGTAAGTTTGGTACCGCCTGGGCACTATGAAAGCCGGACTGACGGGAGGTGCCGCCTGACTGACTCTCATGGTACGACTGAGTATGCCTCATCGAGGCATTTCGCAAACTGTCTTGAAAGTCTGAAGTAGAAGCCGACTCTGACAATCGGTAACTCTTCTTCTGCTCTAGCAGTAGCCGAGCATCTGTGAACGTTTGCTTTGACCCGTCCGCCTGAATATGACGAACCGGTTTCCTATTTCCCGTAGGATAACGGAATTTTGTGAAATCAAGAGCAGGTGGCTCCCGCTTCTTGGATTTAGGATGAGGAGTCGCCTCTCGCCCTTGAACTGGCTTTCTCTTCAGTGAAGTGGAAGGTTTTTTGGCCGACTGCTCTTTGAATGAAGCAGGCGGCTTTTTGTTGATCAACTCTTGAATCTCTCCCTTGAAGTCCCTCATGAAGGTCATGAGTTCGTTCCTTGTGATGGGAGCAGACCTATCAGTCGGCTGTTGCCGAGCAGGCGGTGCGCCTGCTGGCTCGCTTCCTGTTTGAAGATGCTCCCGTTCCCTCCTTTCGGTATGACGGGTACGTCGGGCCCTTAGGGTCCCGTCTGGAGCTGTATGAGTTTCCACTTCAAATTCACTTTCGGTGTCATGGTCCGACTGAACTTGAGGGTCGTTTAGGGGACGCCTCTCTTCAGGAGTCGGTACAGACTTGGATGCCATCTCTGAAGTACTCTCCCCACAGACGGCGCCAAATGTTTCGGGGTTTTCTGATGTCCTGCGGGAGAGTTACAATTCCGAGACTGGAACCGGACGCCTGTACCTGCAAAATAACGGAGACTCCTGAGAGCTCCGCCTCCAACGGTCAAGTTAGTACCTGATTAAGGAGTAATTAATACGGAAATTAAAGTAACAAGACCTCTCTAGGTGAGAGTGTTTAATGTTGGTAATCTGCTTTGTTAGCGAGATTAGCCGGTTATTAGAGTTCCGTAATGTGTCTGTTCTTCTCTGTTCTTCAGGTGAGATTAATTGCTTGATCAATCGTCTCTCAATTGCTTGATGTTCTCTTGATTTCTTGATTGCTTAATTAATGAGGATTTATTAAGTATTTATAGTCTTGAGAAGCGTGCCACTCTCTAGGTTTAGGGTAAACCTAGGGCTGACCGGGCCTCTAGACAGGATTGGGCCTTGTTGGCCGGTTTTCCCATTTGGCATGGGTGGACACGTGGCGTGCCTCGATTGGTCCGTAGAGGACGTATCTGTGATTGACACGTGGCAGGCTCCTATTGGCCTTCGTGAAGGACACGTGGCGGAACCTGGTTGGTCCACTTGTCAGACGGTGATTGGTGGATAAAAATCCCCTAATCAATATTGATTCGAGATTCGAGAGATGAGAATTTATGTTTAGGCTTAGTTTCAATAGGTAGGTTAATTTATAAATGGTTAAGTCAAGATTTGAGAGATGCGATTTAATACCGGTAGATTAATTCTGCGATTATAATACGTAGCAAAAGCCCTTTATGATCTGATTAATTGATGCATTGATGATTGATTATTGTGTTTTACCCTAGACTTTGATTTAATGATTTTTCCTTAGTTTAATTTTGCTTTTGTTCAGTTATTCCCCTTAGTTTAATTCTCTCAAAACAACTTGGTTACTTGATAGTTTAGGTTATATTAATTATTTAGGAATAGAAAGACTTGTTTCCCTGTAGATTCGACCCTACTTCCCTATCTTCTTTAGGTAGAGGACTTAGGTAATTCTTTTGATTTAGTGATACGACTAGCACCTGTCAGAAATCAAATGTGAATGTTGGCCCGCTAGAGGCTACGTCTTTCATAAGACCGAAACTGGAACTAGAAGATGAAACATGCCAAAGAAAATTAGATCTGAAATTCTGGGGGTATTTTCCAGTCAACTCACATAATTCATGAGCCTTATTGGACATTTGTTGCCTCTAAATGATTTTAACACTTCTCATGGATTTTCTCTTTGAAAGTTTAGAAGAACAGAGTGGTAGGGAAAGGAAAATCGGAGAGTGAATAGTGAGAAGATTAAGCAAGGGGGTGTTTCAAAAGGTTTTTATAGTTTACCCAAGCGTTGGAAGAGTCCAGAAAACGATGCAAATGGTATAAAATTCACTTTACAGTTGATTTTAAATTGGAATTGGAAACCCCAAACCTAAAATACACGTTTTAGGTTCCAAGTTCAACAATTGCAAATCAACCGACGTCGACAGTAATATTACTCATTTACCCTTCGAAAATTTTACCAAGTAACACAATTGTTGAAATCAAAAGGAAAGTTACAATTACTTTGGGAAGATTGTATCAATTAAAAATTACAAAGATCAAAAGGCATTTACTTCAATCTATAAATACAGGTTGAAGTCATAAATTGTCTCACTCAAGCACGCCAAAATTCATCTTCTTTCCCTCACTAAAATCATTTATCTCTCTCCCTCTCTCTCTCTTCCTCTCCCTCTCTCTTTCTCTCTCTCTCTCAAAAGGGCAATTTCTATCACTTTTCCAAAACACCTTTGTGTGGTAACAATGGTGAGTTCAATTTTCGGCATTGTTGAGCCTGATCGAAATAAAAGGCCCAAGGAGGATTAACTAGGGTAAAGTTATCAAGCAATTCAACTTGCCGAGTTACCTCCTTAATGCCAAGAGAAAGAGAGGCAGAGTTTCAACAAAAAAGAGCTCCAAAAGCTTGAGGAGTGGCGCAAGAAGAGAGAGAGAGGGTCAATTGTATTTTCCATATTATATAATTCAATTTAAATCATTAACTTTTTTTTATCTATTAACTATTTGTAACATATTTTTTACAAAAATTAAATGGGTCAAGTGACCCGTTTCCTTGAAGTTAACTCTCCCCTTGAAAATGTCCTTAGTTTAAATATTAAGCTAAGTGTTACAAAGGAAAAATTGTCAAAAATAAATAAAACAACCTTTGGCTATCTTTCAAAAATAAAATGACTTTATGATTATTCCAAAATAAAATGACCTTTGACACACATCTGCTCAAAATAGAAGAAAAAATCGATAACCTGTATAAAAGGTTAATACCGAATACGTGTCGCATTGTGATTATTTTGACTTTTTTATTTTAATTCTTAACATTTTTGTTATCTAAAAAATTGATTTTAAATTTATAAAAAATTTAAAACTAAAAATGAAAAAAAAAAAACTTTTTCTGTCTCCTCCTCTCCCCTTCCTCGTGTGGTCACCTGAACCCCCTCCCCACCACCAACCCTCACCTCCCTAATCCCCTCCCCCTTATGTTCAGCGTAAGGTGAAAGATATGGGCCAATTTTCATGATCAAGCTTGGTGTTCACCAAGCCTTGGTTGTGAGCACAGCGAAAATGGCAAAAGAGTGCCTTGGCACCAATGACAAGGTATTCTTTTTTTTTTCATTGGGATAAGATATTCTTAAACAAGTCCTACGAAATATTTGTAGAGCATCTGGGTCATAATTTTGTTATGTTTTCATTCAGTCCTTATGGCTCGTACTGGCAGGAGATGCACAAAATAATAATGACCGAGCAACTGTCCAATTATCGGGGGACAGTGTCAGGTAGGGAAAGGGGAAAAGGAGGGAGGACAATGTTGGGGTGGGGGGAAAGGGATGAGGGACTGTGTCGCGCGGGGTGGGGAAAAGGGAGGGAAGCCGACAAAGGAGCGGGTCTTGGTTGAGGGCTACCGGGGAAAATGGTTGTTCATGGAGTGGGTGGTGCAGTTGGGTGGAGGGTTTTTTTTTTTTTTTTTTTTTGGTTGAATTAAAATCAATTTTTTTTTTTTTAAAAAAAAAAATCCTACTAATAGCACTATGACATGTGTCACTATTAACCTTTTAAACAAGTTACCAATTGGTCACGTTCTATTTTGAGCAGATGTATGTCAAAGGTCGTTTTATTTTGGAATAATCAAAAGTTCGTTTTATTTTTGGAAGACCTCCCAAAGGTCGTTTTTTTTTTTGACAATTTTTCCATGTCACAAACATGTTTTAAATCACGTCCTATATTAATTAAAATGCTATGTTTTAAATCTTTGATTTCCAAGTACTTGTAATCGTCAGATCATTATGTAGTCCTTGTTAATATAATTATAAATCTTTTGGTATTTTTGGACTTATCAGTTGATAAGTATGATTTAAATGCTATATTACCCACACAAATATACTACAGTAGTACATAATTGACTTTATGTAACATGTAATTGGTAACACTTCTTGAAATGCAAAATATTAGATTTATAAGTAACATCTTGGTAACACTTTATTAGAATGTAACACTCAATGTAACACTTTTAACATAAGTAACACTCCATAGTAACACTTTTAAAAAAAAGTAACATTTTATGATAACACTAAGAGGTGTTACGTGATTAAACATTTATAATAAAGTAAAAGTTAGTATTAATCCCCAAATTAAATTACCAATTTATTATATAGGTTTAGGATTACCGCCAAAGCAATTAAAAATAAAAAATAATTTGGGCCTCAATCATTAGCTTTAACCGCCAGAATTAAGGGAAAAAAATAAAATAAAAACAATCTCTCAATTCTAGGTTCAATTTCCTTATTCAGCATGACATTCTTCCGTTATCACAAAAAACCCAATCTCGCAATTCAAGTTCAATTCGCGCGAGTTTCATCACAAAATCAGTCATTGACTCGATCGTCATCTGGGGTTCCATCAACTCGCGCTTCCAATTAGGTATATTAGTTATTTTTTTGGTGGATTTTTAATGTTTTTGGTTATGTAATCATTAAATTTAATGTGAATTATCATCACAGTCTAGTTAATAGGGTTTGTTTTGATTGGATTCTATATTATCTCAATTGAAATTTGGACCTGTTATTATTCATAGTTTCATGCAATCTGTTTTGTATATTAATGGATTTTCTTATTAAAATGATGCTGTATACTTCGTATTATTGATCTTAGGTTTTACAGATTAGAACTCTTATTAAGTTGATGGAGCATTCAATTTTAATTGCTGAAGAAAGCAGACCACTTTTATGCCATGCTAAGTATATTTAATTAAGTATATATAAGCAATGGCTAGAGAGATTAGTTATAGGGAATCAGATGTATTTATGGACAGAAATTTATGGCTTCATGTAGTAGTGTTTGTAATCTGTTTGATGTTAGATCATTAATTAAGTGAAAATAATTACATTGCATGTCATTTTATATAGGTTATAGGTTATTCCTGTGAATGTCCATCATTATACATCCTCACTCCCAGACATGCTTTTCCTTATTGATTTTCATCTCCAATCCTACACACATCTTTAAAGTGTTAATAGATGGTCATATGCTTCAATGAAGTGTAACTCTTATATACTTGGTAGAGGAGAATTGTAACCTTGGACATTACTTAAAGTTAGCTTTTCTGAAAATTTTAACTTGGTAGTGGAGAATTGTAACCTTGGAGAATTTTAACTTTTCTGAAAATTTCTGAACTTATTGTCAGCTTACCTAAATTTATAATACCTTGGCAGAACTTATATTTAATTCCAGGAAGCAGCTTTATAATACCTTGGCAGAACTTATATATAATTCCCTGAATCAGCACTAACTTACTTTGTTTAAACTTAACTTATTTGAACTGAATTTGTCTAAATAAGTCATAATAAGTTAAACCAAATGGAGTGAACCATAATCAGTTTTTTTTTTTTTTTTTTTTTTTTTTTTTTTTTTTTTTTTTTTTATATACTTGTTTCATTTCTATTATTATTATACAATGTTGAATATATGGGTGTGTGTTTCTATGGATATTGTCATTTCTTTTAGACATGTTAAATTATATGCCAATATTTTAAATCTTTAAATTTACTTAGGTTTAAATTTTGATAAAGGAGACAAAATGAGTAGTTGGACCAACTTCTTACAATCTAGTCATGAGTATGAGAAAGGTGTAGAGGATTATTTAGATAAAGCGTTTTCTACATAAGCAATTGGAGATCAAATTTCTTGCCCGTATAAGGTGTGCTATCACCGCTTTTGGCATCGTAGAGAGACAGTTTTCAATCATTTGATTGCAAACGAGATCAAGCCTGGCACTGAAGGATGGCATTGTTATGAAAAGGGCTTGTCATCAACATCAAATACCGAGAAGGATGTTGAAGACATGCATGATGATATTAAACGTCTGATATATGATGTTCATAGAGATGTGGCAGAAAGGTATGAAGGGGTTGGAGATGAGCCCAATGATGAGGCTAAGAAGTTTTATAAGTTAGTTGAAGATGGAAACAAGAGCTATATCCCGGGTGCAAAAAAATTTCAAAGCTATCATTTCTTTTTCGTTTTTAGCTTTTGAAGTGTACTCATGGGTTAACTAATATAGCAATTTTAGATTTTTTGGAGCTTTTTCGAGAAGTGTTACCAGATGCATCTAATTTGCCTAACTCTTTTAATGAGGCAAGGAAATTGATAAAAGATCTAGGTCTTAATTATGACAAGATTGATGCATGTCTTAATGATTGTATGCTATATTGGAAGGAGCACGAAGCTGCCACGTCTTGCCATGTTTCTCATGCTCCAAGGTGGAAAGAAACACAGACCAAAAACCAAGAAGATATTAGCAATCAACCATCTAAGAAAGTGCATCAAGTCCTCGCAAAAGTTCTTTGGCATTTTCCTCTTAAACCAAGGCTTCAAAGGTTGTACATGTGTTCATAAACAGTAGAGCTAATGAGGTGGCATGATGAAGAAAGAAAGAAAGATGAGTTATTGAGGCATCCTGCTGACGGTGAGGCGTGGAAAGAGTTTGACCAAAAGTACCCAGAGTTTGCTAATGAAACATGTAATGTTCGTTTGGGGCTTGCAAGTGACGGATTCAATCCATTTCGAACTATGAGCACACAATATTGTACATGGCCTGTTGTTCTAATTAATTACAACTTACCACCATGGCTGTGTATGAAGCCAGAATTCTTAACGTTATCTCTCCTTATTCCCTGGCCCACCTCTTCTGGAAATGACATTAATGTCTACCTTCAACCATTGGTTCAAGAACTTAAAGATTTGTGGGATTATGGGTTGGACACCTATGATGCGGAGAAGCGTCAAACATTTAAGATGCATGCAGCTTTACAATCAACGACCAGCAACTTTCCAGGTTATGCTATATTATCTGGTTGGAGCACCAAAGGGAAGTTTGCATGCCCTTATTGTCACTGCGAGACTGATCATCATCACTTGAGTAATAGTAACAAATCCTGTTACTGGGCTCATCGTCGATGGTTAGATGAAAATCATCCTTGGCGACATGATATTGAGTCTTTTAATGGGGAAAAGGAAGAGAGGACATCTCTAGGTCCTTTAACAGGGGATCAAATTTCAAGCTTGTTGGAAAACTGGGAAAAAATTTGGAAAATTACAACCAAAGAAGAAATATGTAGATTGTCCATGGAGAAAGTCCTCCGTCTTCCACACTTTGCCTTATTGGAAAGATTGTGGTTGTCGTCATCATTTGGATGTCATGCACATAGAAAAGAACGTTTGTGATAATGTGCTCGGAACTTTGTTGGACATACCTGGAAAATGAAAAGATCATCATAAGGCTCGATTAGATCTGCAAGAATTGGATATAAGGGAAGAACTACATCCTGTAGATGCAGATGACAAGCGGTATGTTTTGTTGCCCAAAGCATCATTCTCAATGACGAATGAAGAGAAAAGCATATTTTGTAGTGTTTTGAAGAAGGCAAAGCTGCCCCAAGGTTGTGCATCAAATATTGCAAGGTGTGTGCAAGTCAAGGAGGGGAAAATATCAAGGTACAAGAGTCATGGTGCTCATATAATAATGCAACACTTGCTTCCGTCAGCAATTAGAAAAACTTTACCAAAGCATGTTGCTTTACCTCTTATGAGATTGAGTGGGTTTTTTAGAGAAATATGCAAGAGAGTCATCAATCCTAAATATTTGGATCGCCTTCAAGCAAGAATTGTTGAGACTCTTTGCGAACTAGAAAGAATATTTCCACCATCTTTTTTTGACATACTGATCCACTTATCGATTCATTTGGTTGATGAAATCAAGCGTGGTGGACCGGTGTGTGATTGGTGGATGTACCCTATAGAAAGGTACCTCGGAAAGTTAAAATCATATGTTAAAAACCGATGTTTCCCTGAGGCTTCTATAGCAGAAGGTTATTTGGCTGAAGAGTGCTTGATATTTTGCTCTAGGTATTTGAATGCTAGTGTCAAGAAGCGATCTAAGTGGTTTAACAAAAGTCAAGAGAAAACTGATGAAATTTATGAAGAATCACCTTTATTCCATAAGGCAGGTTATCCTCTTGGGAGGAAAAAGAAAGGGATGAAGAAAGGGAAGGCATACACTCTTGATTCAGACACAATGGCTCTAGCACATTGTTATGTGTTGTTTAATTGTCAAGATGACAAAGTTGAGAATTACATCAAGTGAGTAACTTTTTTAATATCTTGTCCATTGTGTTTAAATTTATATTGTTTTATTACCTTACTTATATGGTTAATACTATGAAGGGAACATGAAGAGTTTGTGAAGAAGATGTCTAGAGACAAACGAAAAAGAAGGTGGAAAGAGGCGCAAGAGCATAGCAATGAATTCATGGTTTGGTTTAGAGAAAAGGTTGTGGTGGATAATGTCTCGGATCATATCAAGTGGTTATCAAAAGGTCCTTCTACTATTACAAGGAGGTACACTAGATATTTTTGTAATGGATATAAGTTCTACACTAGAGATCATGATGAAAGGTGTAAAACTCAAAATAGTGGAGTCTCTTTAATTGCTTTGACTCCAAGCTTCGCGAGTAGCAAGGATCACAATCTCGTTCTTGGTAATGTCACATATTATGGGACTATAAAATCAATAATTGAGGTTGATTATTGGAGTGCATTTAGTGTTGCGTTGTTCGAGTGTGATTGGTTCCATGTGGAAGTAGATGATTATGGATTTACTTGCGTTAACTTTAAGAAATTGTGTTCTAAAGATTACCCTTTTGTCTTGGCATCACAAGTGCATCAAGTGTTCTACACTCAAGACGGCCTTGAAGAAGATTGACATTATGTGCACAGAAATTTTCCAAGAGACTTTTTTCATGCCGAGGGGCAATCTGAACACACATATATGAATGAAGTTCATGAACCCTCAGAGGCTGTAATTCTGACTACAGATCATGATGAACACCAAAGTTGGTGCAGAGAAGCTGCTTATGACAGAGTTGAGGTGCCTGTCAATAGTGAAATGAAAGATCATAATCACGAAGATAGTTCTGATATAGATGACACAGATTGGGATTGGATGGAACCATCCAAGTGACATGTTTAGACCCTTTTTTTAGAATAATTATCCTTCATTGAACTTATTATTTGGATTTGACAAACTATTATTAAAGTGTTTTTTTTTTTTTTTTATTTGAACTTGTTTTCTAATGAAATTTATAAGTTAGTGGTTAAATTTAGTGTTGTGCTACAGAATTTACTCTAACTTTATTTTAATTGTTAAATTTATTTGAGGTTTGATATTATAGTGACAGTGTTTACATTTGGCAGTTTTGAGCTATGTGGTATCTTTGTGCTCGGGCAGTAGGTGAGTTGTGTCGGCTTCTGAGGTAGTTTCTACTATTGACATAATTTCAATATATGAACTTTTGTCTTTGCATTGCATGATTATAGCTGATCAGACTTTAGCTCTAGCAAGATTAATTTGCCTCAGACTTTTTGCAATATTTATAAAGCTGCGTGTGAGGTAAATTAATCTTGCTAACAGTCTGAGTCTGAGTATTAGCAAGATTAATATCTACCTCAGACTATTAGCTAATCAGAGTTGAGTATAAGCTGATCTTGTGCTCAGGTGCTCAGGTTATATGCGTACTCTTTCTGTGCTCTTTTTGTGCTCAGGTGCTTTTATTAATCGTTATACGTACTGCCTGATGCAAGTGTGCTATATGTATTACCTTTGAATCAGTGTAGCTTGGGTCAGTCAGGTGAATATGAAGGGAGGACTGAAAGTCCTGTGCTCCAAACCCAAACAAATTTGATTGTTTGAAGGCTTAGGTCCTGTAAAAATACTACGTAGTATCATCTAGGGTAAATCATTTCTCTTTATATCAGAATACATGATTTATTACCTAGATCTTTGAAGGCAACTTCATGTGCAACAACTGTTATACTAAGCCCCAAGCTGTTTGCAATTTCAAGGACCTTTAGCTGACCACCAATTGGATCCACTTTTGTATAGAAGGATTCAGACAAAATGAATGCAAAATTACTTAGATTGCATCCATGATCTCAGACAAAATGAATGGTAATTCTACTCTGAAAATCAGGACATGGTTTTGTTTTGGCCACTCTCTTTTGAGGTAAATCAGGAAGGTGGAATTAGCAATGTATGTAAACTCTGAACATCAGGCTAATAATCTGTTAGGGGTCTGATACTCTGAAAATCTGTTTGTCACCAATAATGTCCATCAACTAACTGTCTTGTGTGTTCTTTGTAGGAAGCAAGATCTAGATGGCAGAAATGAGAAACTTAAACAAAAAACTATAGAACAAAATGGAATCAGGATGAAGGATTTAGGGGTTACATCCATGGCTTATGAAATGAAACAGTCGATGAAGGGATCGAAACAAACGAAAAAAAGGAAGAAGGTGACTAAAGATACTAACGAGTATACACCTGATGAAGAGGGTGAACTGAACCACTCAAGTGAAGAGGATGAAAATGAGATAAGGAAAACCGGTGTAAACTTGAGGTCTCGTTCAAAGAAGGTTGTTCTTTTTTTTTTTTGTGACAACTAAATCTTGTGAATCATAATTGTTAGAAAATCATGTAATATTTGTTTAATGATGTTCATGAATACTTAATTTCAGGTTGTGACATTGAGAGGGAAGATAACCACAAACATTAAGGACACGACAGGTGTCTCTTCAATACCAATGGCTAATATAACTAAGATGCGTCTTCAAAACACCGAGATACAACACTTAGATCAAGGGTTACAAGGGAGAGATTCAATGCAAAGAAAAATCCAATTAGGCAAGTATACTGCACAGAAAAAATCAGCAGTCCATAATCAGTAAGAGAAAGAGGTTGAGATTGGGAATGGTGTCCAAACTAAGACAGGGCAGAGTAAGACAGTGGTTGCTTCTGGTTCACTCAGTGCTTATAGGCAAATGCAATCACAGTTGCTAGAAAAAAGAGAGAAGAGCAAAACAAAGTGATTTATTACTATGACATGGCTAGTTCACAGCCTGTTAACATGGCTATTTCACAAGTGCATTTAGGGAGTTCACAAGCACAAAGTTTTTCACAAACACAAAGATTTGGAAGTGAATTACAGGAAGATTACGAGAATCATATGGGTGCAAATGAACGCAATTTGGAACAATATGTAGATGAAGAAGATGAGTTTAGTGATGATTTGAGTACCACTACTAGAAATAGGCTAAATTCTGACGGACTCCAATTCCCTCGCAAAAATAGAAATTTTCGGCGGAATTTTAGATTGTAGGAAAAATCCGTCGGAAAGCATTATTTCGGACGGAAGAATCCGCCGGAATTATTCCGACGGACCATATTCCCTCGGAAACTTGTTCTTCCGACGAAAAAATCCGTCGGAATGCGTCCAACGAATTTATATGCCCAAGGAAATACACCCTTTCGACGGAATTTTCCGCCGGAAAAAATATGTTCCGACGGAAAATTCCGTCGGAAAAGTGTATTTCCGAGGGATTATTTTCCATTGGAACCTTTCAGCAATTAAAAAAAAAAGGGTGATTTGAATTGTTTCACGAAACAGAAACTGGGTAGGGAGAAAGAGGAAGAGAGAGAAAGGGAAAGAGAGAAGGAGAAACGGAGAAGGAGAGAGGGGAAGGAGGTCGCCACCACCTGCTGCCGGGTTGTCGCCGCCGGTAAGTCGCCATTTTTTTGGTTTAATTTTTTTTTTTATATATAAAGTTATTGAATACCCTAACCACCACCCCCACCTAGGTTGTGACGGAATTCACTATTAACCACCACAACCGCAAAATCTTCACCGGAAAACATCATTGTCGCCGCCGGGTAGTGGTAAGTATTTTTTAGGGTTTTTGGGGTTTTTTTGAGGTTTTTTGGGGTTTTTTTTTGTACTTGACCCTTTTTTTTGGTTTTGGAATGCTAGTGAGGAACCCCACAGCCCCGACACCAGCCGGGCGTCGGTCTGCAACCAAGGGGTCGACCAGCCTCCGCCGCTAGCAGGTGGTGTTTCCCTTAGTTTTTTTTTTTCTTTCTTTTGTTCATTATAATTTGTTACCATTTAATCATTTTTTAATATACATAAGCATCACATTCTATGTTACTAATTGGGATAATTTGATATTTTTTTAGGTTTTGTAGAAAGTGAATCTACAAAACCTAAAAAAAATATCAAATTATCCCAATAACAAGTGCAGATCTACAGGTTAGAGACTATGTAAAACCTAATATTATAAGTTTAGTTTATACTTGGCATGTTAGTCGGTAACTGTATTTAGATATATGTTGATTTATTGTTTTTTTAAGTGTAGTGTATACAATTTATTGTATTTATATTATAATAAGTTGAAATTTTAGAAAAGAATGTGTATGTGTTGTGTTAGTTTAGTTTATTTAAGTTTATTTTTTAATTATTGTATAATAACACGTTAACATAGTTTGGTTTAGTTTATTATAATAATGTATGCTAGTTTAGTTTATTTTAAAATATTTAGTTTAATTTTGTGTATGTTAGTTAATTTAGTTTAATATTTTTGTTTGATATAATGTTTGTTATAATATTTAATAATTGTGCTTCTTTTTTTTGCTTATATTAGTTTAGTTTAATTATAATAAATCTCTATTTAGTATAATGCATGTGACCTTCACTTTATATATATATATAATAAATGAAGCATTTGCAAATAATCATTTGCCTAGATACCCGTTCAAGGCATACACAATAGGAGTATGTCTTGAATAGTCCCCGGTTGGGACTGTCCTTGTACGCTTATTCTCACTTAGGTGGTGAATGTAAGCCTTGTTTTTTATTCTACGGAAAATCGTGTCTTTTCATTTCTCTACAGTGTTCTCTGGGTACATATGTAGGTGTGTTTAATTGCCTACATCGTGTACTTGGAGAACTGTAGAGAAATGCTGACGAATTTCCGTAGAATTGAAAACCTGGCTTACATTCACTAGTGGGATTAAACGTACAAGGATGGGTTAGGTTGGAGTGATTAGGACCCTTTGGAAGCATTTTATATCTCATTTGCATTTTCATGAATGATTGATGGATAATGTTTAGGAAGTACGCTTTGTGACTAATATGCGTGAGTTGTGTAGAAGTTGTAATCATGAAACGAACAGAACGTAGCTGGATGTATGAAAGGAAGGTCGGGCCATATGTTAATCCAGAGTTCGAGAAAGGGGTTGAAGAATTCATGCAATACGTCAAAGATAATCCCGAAAGTAGTAACCGGAATGAAGTTAGGTGTCCATGTACTAAATGTAAGAACAAACGACTTTGGGACCCAGATAAAGGTTAAACTTCATTTGTTTCGCGCGGTTTTTGTACCTAATTACTATGAGTGGATGTGTCACGGGGAAGGGTTTTCGACAGTTCCTGCAAGAGGGTCCAACGAATATCGTGAAATGGTTTTCGATGCGTTTGGTCAAAGTCAAGATCATGTGCATTCCGAAGAGGCTAGTGTTCCATCAGAAGAGGAGCCTAATGCCCAAGCTAAGGATTTTCTGGATTTGTTGAAGGCTTCTGAAAGGCCATTATACGAAGGTAGTTCGTTGTCTGTGTTGGAGATGGCCGCTAGAATCACAAGTCTAAAGTGCGAGTATAATCTTCCGCACAGATGTGTCGATGGGTTTGTTTCACTTCTTAGTGAAGCAATTCCTAACAACAATCAAATGGTCGACACATTTTATGAGGTAAAAAAGATTGTGAAGGGCTTGGAAATGCCTCATGAAAGGATTCACGCTTGTCCTAAAGGATGTATGTTGTTTTGGAAGGATGATGCCCAGCTGTCTACATGTAGGGCGTGTAGCAGCGATTGCTACAAGCAGACTTCCAAGGGTAGCCTAGTGCCTTTGAACGTTTTGTTTAATTTCCCGATCACACCCAGGCTGCAAAGGCTATTTACAACCAAGACTATTTCGGAGGAAATGACATGACATTCGAAAAATCCTCGAGTGCAAGGCACTATGGCACACCCTTGTGATAGTGAAGCTTGAAAACACCTGGACAACTACTTTCCAGAGTTTGCCTCCGAGCCTCGTAATGTTCGGCTTGGTTTGTGTACAGATGGTTTCGCTCCTCATAGCAAGTTTGGGGGACAATATTCTTGTTGGCCTGTCATTTTGACCCCTTACAACTTGCCCCCCTCAATGTGTATGAAAAGACAATTTATGTTCCTTTCGTTGCTATCCTAAAAATCCTAAGGGCAACTTGGATGTGTACATGCAACCGTTGATTGAGGAGTTGAAACAGTTGTGGGAAGTTGGTGCACATACGTACGATATTTCCATGAAACATAATTTCAATCTTCGAGCAGCCATCCTATGGACCGTTAGTGACTTCCCGGCTTACAGTATGTTGTCCGGTTGGGCCACATCTAGTAAGAAGGCTTGTCCATATTGCATGGACAAAAGCAAAGCATTTTAGCTAGAAAATGGGTGTAAGGTGTCTTGGTTTAATTGCCACCGCCAGTTCCTTTCGACGAATCACCCTTTTCGGAAAGGAGCTTCCATATTGGGTGCCCCTCCACACATTATGTCAGGAGAGGAGCTGTGGGAATTTGTGAAAGACCTCCCGAAGGCTACAGATGGGCCCGAGTCACTTCAACGCCTCAAAAAAGAAAAGAAGGGGTGGTTCGAGAAAAGTATATTGTGGGAGCTTCCATATTGGAAGCATCTGCTTGTTCATCACAACCTAGATGTCATGCACATTGAAAAGAACTTCTTTGATCAGTTATTTCACACTGTAATGGCTGTGAAAAAGCAAACGTGTGACACGCCATCCGCTCGAAATGACGTTGCCAAATATTGTAAACGTCCGCAGCTTCATCTTCAGCAGGATGATAGGGGAAAAGAGTTCATGCCAATGGCTCCATTTGCTCTTGAAAAGGCTCAGAGAAAAGTTTTGTGTGAGTGGGGTAAACAGCTGCGGTTTCCTGATGGTTACGCCTCCAATTTGAGTAGATGTGTCGATTTGCAAGCATGTAAGCTCCACGAAATGAAAAGCCATGATTGTCACGTGTTCATGGAGAGGTTGTTGCCTACTGCTCTGCGGGAATTGCTCCCTTTCCATGTCTGGAATGCAATAACAGAGATCAGCCAATTCTTTCGCGATTTGTGTTGCTATACAACAACGGTTAGTGACATGGAGCGATTGGAGAATAACATAGCTGAGATACTGTGCAAGCTTGAGAAGGTTTTTCCCCCTACATTCTTTAACTCCATGGAGCATTTACCCATTCATTTGCCATATGAAGGGAAGTTATGTGGTCCTGTGCAATATAGATGGATGTACCCGTTCGAAAGGTAAATCAAAGCCCATGCACATCCTATTTCTTACATCAAATTCAATGTAATGTCGTGTTTATATATTTACATAAATATGATTATAGGTTTCTAAACCATTTGAAACAAAAAATTGGAAACAAGGCTCGAGTTAAAGGCTCTATTTGCAATGCTTATCTCACCGAAGAGATAGCAAACTTCTGCAGTAACTACTTCCAGGGGACGGTTGACACTAAAACACGAGATCTCGGTCGAAATGTGAATGCCGACGTGGACTCCACAGTGGACGACGCTGAAATTCCAGAGTTGTTCAAGGAGGATAGCGGTCGTTTGTCAACTGAGGGCAAAACTCGGTTTTTGGATGAAAAAGAATTGGATTGTGCTCATCTGTTCGTGTTACGAAACACCGACATTCTTGGTGAATACGAAAGGTATAACATAGTTTAGTAATGAAGTGTAGTTGGATGATATGATCATCTGGAATGATTACAATGTTTACTTACATTAATTTTGGCCTCGTAGGAAGTTTGAGGACTATGTCCTTAGTACTCGACCTTTTCTGCGTAGAGAAGAAGTAATGGAGAAATGCGAAGCTGCATTCCCTTATTGGTTTCATCGCAAGGTGATGTCCACTGTCTAAACGTAGGATAATTATGATTAACTATTCGTTGCTATTTTCGTTGCTATTTAATTTACTCATTTAGGGAAGTGTGACGGTTATATTTAAAACGTTTATAGGTTATTGAGGAGGAACAAAAGTCGAATGTGCTGCGAGCGTTGTGCATGCGCCCTTTCAAGCGTGTTCGAACTTGGAAGCAGATTTTTGTCGGTGGCTTTAATTTCCATACATATGCCCATGGCAAGCACAAATCTACGATGAATTACGGGGTGTGTGTATCAAGTGAGGATGGTGGAGAGTACTACGGCATTTTAGACGACATTATAGAACTGGTCTACACTGGTCCCGAAAAAGAGTACAAGACTATTTTGTTTAAGTGTAGTTGGATGGATTGTGGTAGGGGAATGAACATACATGAACAGTACAAGCTTGTCGAAGTGAATCATACTAAGATATACCCCAAGTACGATCCCTTTGTTTTGTCTTACCAAGTGACTCAAGTGTACTACGCATCATACCCAAGCCTGAAACGGGATCGAATACAATGGTGAGCTGTTTTTAAAACACAAGCAAGATCAGTGGTTGATGCTCCGGTGGACTTAGAGTTCTTGCAGGCACCATCCCCACAATTACATGCAACAATTTGCCCACCGAATGATATTCCAGACTATATCCAAGATGATGATGATGAGGAAGATGACGATGGCTTTATTATCTCGAGCAATGAAGATGATGAATCTAGCATCAACTCCAGTGATAGTGACGAGGATGATGATATCGATGTATTATTAGATGATAGTAGCGATGATTCCTGTAGTGATAGTAGTAGTGATGACATTAATAAATAGGGGAATTTGTTACTCTCCTTCTTTGAATTTTCTTATTATTGTACACTAGACAAATGAATTGGTATTTTAATAAATCGATCATTACTTTTACGCTGAAATGTTATTGCATTGCCCGAGTCCCTTGTAACTTATAATATGATGTAATGTTATTATCAACAGCTGCAGGTCATCGTGGCGGGCGGTAAAGACACAGGTCAACGGGGAATGCAGATCGACCATTCCGATGATGACATAGAGGATGCTCCTGGTTTGGATAATATTCAGGAGCCGACTTCCAGCTCATCACGAGGTCAGACTCAAGAGCGTTCAAAGTTGCCGGTTTTAGACCCTATTGTGCTCTGGTACGTACATACATTTTGTGCATTGGGATTTTATTATTTGTTAAAAAAAAAACCATTTATTACCTGTAACAAGTTGTTCAATACTTGCAGTTCATGGTCATCTAACTTTGTGGTTTCCTCATTGAATGTAGGTTTGACGACAACAAGGTCAGGACTGCGGTATCCGGGTCGATAATCGGGTACTATCGACAGCCTTGGAGGAATTACGGCGAGGTGGATGCAGCGACCAGGGAACATTGGTGTAACCTATTCTGCGTAAGCTATTATAACCTTAACTGAAAACATGTTTTTTTGAAATGTTGAGCTGAATTTGTAAATTATGACATAACGTTTATCAATTGCAGAAGGAATTCACGTGGGCACCTGAGTTGGCCGAGGATGTGAAGCACACGTTTGAAAAGACGCTTGCTACTCGGTTGCGTGACATGTTCTACACAGTCACGCATAAGATGAGAGGCGCAAGGCCATCCTGGCTCAGCTAGGAGGTCCACAAGAAGATGATGGATATTGTTGCCGCCGATCCAACTTTCAAGGCAAGGTCGTCCCAAAACAAGAAGAATAGGAGGGGTGGGTCAATGGAGAATCCGGTTGAAGCTACCCACTACCAGGGTTCGATGTCTACTGTACAACATGCTAAACGAATGGTAAGTTTGTTGAGTATTCCGTTTAAATTGGAGAGTCGGGTTTATTCTTTTCTACAGGTGCTCTAACATTTAAAGTTTATCATTTTCTATATGTATAATCAAAGGCGGCGAAGAATAAAGGGCAGCTCCTAACAGCTCATGAGATGTTTATCAAGACGCATTTCAAGGAAGTGTCTGGGAAAGGCACGGTACCGGCCAACACCAAAGCACAGCATATTGCGGTATTAACTTCAATAACACCTACAACTGTTATATGCATGTTATTAGAAAATAGCTTATTTTTGTGATTTCAAGGCATATACATCTAAAACAACCTATGATATGCATGTTATGACAAAGAATTGGTTCATTTGGTAAGAAATGTAGAAAATAGGCAAGTGATAGGTCATTTAGGGGTCTATTGGTTGATTTGTAATCATTTAGGGTCCCAAAACTTAGACAAGTGCTTATTTTTGTGATTTCAAGGCATACACAATCCCAAATACCTATAATAGACATGTTATGACAAATAAATGGATCATTTATTTAGAAATGTAGATAATAGGCAAAGGATAGGACATTTAGGGGTCTATTGGTTGGATTTTGGTCGTAATCGCTCAAAACCTTTGAGACTTGGTTTTTTTTTGTTATTTCAAGGCATATACATCTAAAAATATCTATAATAAACATGTTATGATAAAGAAATGATTCATTTATTAACAAATGTAGATAATAGGCAAAGGATAGGCCATTTAGGGGTCTATTGGTTGGATTTTGGTCGTATTCGCTCCCAAACCTTTGACACTTGGTTTTTTTTTTTGTGATTTCAAGGCATATACATCTTAAACTATCTATAATAAAAATGTTATGACAAAGAAAGATTCATTTATTAACAAATGTAGATAATAGGCAAAGGATAGGTCATTTAGGGGTCTATTGATTGGATTTTGGTCGTATTCGCTCCCAAACCTTTGAGACTTGGTTTTTTTTTGTGATTTCAAGGCATACACAATCCCAAATACCTATAATAGACATGTTATGACAAATAATTGGATCATTTAGTTAGAAATGTAGATAATAGGCAAAGGATAGGTCATTTAGGGGTCTATTGGTTGGATTTTGGTCGTATTCGCTCCTAAACCTTTGAGACTTGTTTTTTGTGATTTCAAGGCATATACATCTAAAACTATCTATAATAAACATGGTATGACAAAGAAATGATTCATTTATTAACAAATATAGAAAATAGGCAAAGGATTTTGATTTTAGCTTACATATTTACTTTGTGCAACTTTTCATATGTCTATCTTGTAGGAGGCCTACCAGAAGAAAGTTGAAGAAGCAAGCACCCAAGGGATTCAGAAGAGTCCAAATGAGTTGTACTGGGAAACTGTAGTTGGTCGAAACAAGAAGGGTCGTGTGAAGGGACTTGGCCAAGGTGCGGAGCTGTATTACGGCAGCCGGAAGAGTTCCAAGTCTTCCCAGCAGTACACGCCTTCCTTTCTTTCTCAGATGCAAGATCAGATGGACCAGAGGGTGGAACAGAGGTTGGAGAAGAGGGTGCAAGCGATGCGGAGTGAAATGGAAGTCGAGATGGAGACTCGATTGGCCGAAATAGAAAGGAGAAACCAAGAGAGGTATGAAGAGATGATGCGTCGACTCTCCAGCAATGACTCATGTTCCAACATTCCACATCAGCGTCGAGACCCCACGAACGACGGCCCAGGTAGCGGCGGTGCAAGGATAGGTATTGTAGCTTAGAATTTGTGTACGTAATTGGACATGTATATAGTTTTAAATTATGTTGTATTGTTGAACAAATTAAAATATATACATTAATATTATTGTTAATATATATATGAAAATATTTTCATATTTAAATCATCAATTCAAAAATTAACACAAATTAGGTGAAGGATATAGGTGAGCAAAATCGAATTAAATAATTAAATTATTGTTTATTAATCAGGAACCTTTCGACGGAATTGTTTGTCGGAAATGAATACCTTCCGACGGATCAATTCGTCGGAACATAAGAGGTTCCGACGGAAATTTCCGTCGAAAACTATTATGATCCGACGGATTAATCCGTCGGAAGGTATATATTTCCGACAAACAATTCCGTTGGAACACCCACTTTTCCGATGAACTAATTCCGTCGGAACGTAAGATATTTCGAGGGAATATTCTGTCGGAAGCCTTCCCATTTACGACGGAAATAAATTCGTCGGAATGTTGCGACGGACTTTTAATTTAAGTCAAAATCAGCTCCGATAGACGTAATTCCGTCGGAAAGTTCGTCGGAAAGGTGTCTTCCGACGGAATTTTCATCGAAAAACGTCCATTTTCCGACAAGGGTCGTTACGACAGACATCTTCCGACGAAATTCCGTCGGAAAGGCCGATTCCGACGGATTTTTTGATGATTCCGACGGGATTTTTCCGTCGGAATTAAGCTGTTTTCTTGTAGTGTACTTTTACCTCTGAGGAGCTAGGAATGCAAGATGAACCACTAATGAATCAAGAGCATGAAAGTGAACAAATAGGTAATGATCACTATCATTCCATTCTAACTTTTTTAAGATAGATATGCTAAGAGCCATATATGATTTTAATGACTTGGTTGAGTTAATGTTCATGTAGCACTTCCAAAAAGGAAGCGAACCAGAGGACCAACTATGTGTAAAGATGTCCATGAATGGACATTAGAGGAGCGTAAGCCTATTGTTCTAAATGAAATGGGAAAGCCTATTGGTCCGGATGATAAGACTGTAAATACTTTTACAAGATTCTTAGGGACTTTAGCTCGTAATTCTTCTCTAGCGCCGTTGAGTAAGATTAATTGGCATTATGTTCCAGACAAGGAACAAATTTGGAGTTACGTGAAGGTATGCACCTTTTATTTACGTACTCAAAAGCTAGCATTTATTATTGTTGTGTTTTGATGCTAAAGCTTGCTGTGAATCCCTTGACAAAATCACCTACACAGTCCCTTATCATTCCACCACCACCAGCCTATCTTGGAGAGCCCTTGGCTGCTCCATTTGTATTAAGAGCATACCAATTGCTAGGTGGCGCTATCCACGTCACAAAGATTTCATGCCTAGGGTGCCTGCCAAGTATATTTGTAGTTCCTTGTAATGGATTACAGGTGCAAATACGCTGTTGAACAGGAATCTGCCAAGCCAAACTCCATTTAGGCTCTGATGTGGAGTTGTTTTGTTCACTCATAATGCTCATAACATATTTTATTGAGAATTTTCCACATTTTGAACCTTTCCAGAAGCGAAGATCACTATTTTTTGGATTATTATCATCCAATTTGTGTGCTGCAATAAGTTGTAAACATTGAACAGGAAGGATATGAGCAAACAGATCCATTTCCATCCCTGTTCAATATGCCACATTTCCTCAACATTTAGGATATGAGCAGGAAGTATTTTTTTAATGGTTTGATTTGATTAGTTTATGTGCTATTATATGTTAAGTGGCTGACGTAATTGATTGCTCCCTAATTTTCTTGTTTAATATTTTACTTAATACAGAAGAAATGCATTATCGCGGAAAAAGGTAAAGACTGTGTTTTCTCATTCGTGGGAAGGCTTTGCCGTAGATATAAATGAAGTGTAAAGGCAACGCACTTTACTCCATACGAAAATGATGGTGAAAGGTAGGCAAATCTACCTAATACAATTCCGGAAGCGCATTTCAAAGAGTTGCTAAAATTTTGGAATTTGGAACTAGTCCAGGTAAAGTTATATTGTTTGTTTCCATTATATTACAATTGCTTATTTCCCTCTCAAAATGAAATGTGTTAAGCTATGAACCGTGTGTTATGCATGCATGTAGGAAGACAGCAAAAGGAAAAGGGAAATAAGTATAGATCAAAACAATAGGCACACTATGGGTCCTATGACTTTTGCGAGGAAACAACATAAATTGGTATGTTTTTATACCGTTCTTCCTTCTTTATCGTTCTCACTATGATCATGTTAACAATCTTATTTTAGTTCTTAATTGGATGTGTTTTTTATTCTAACAACAACTAGATGTTGAAAACAAGCCACCATCCTTATCACTCATGTACGAAGAAAGTCGTAAAAAGAAAGCAGACAAAAAATACAAAACATCTTATGAGCCCACCCAAAGTAACATTGTAAGTCCTGTTGTCTCCATATTGTTTAGAATATGATTATTTGTCTTCAAATTAGTTGTTTATTTGTTATATTTCCATTATAGGACAAGATGGAGGAGGTACAAATTCAAAGTGAAATTGATGGAGATGTTGCATACTATGAAGTAATGAATTAACCAAATAACTTTGGCCATAGAAAAAAGCAACCGGGGATATGTTCACTATGGGGAAAGAGCAACAAACCAATAATTCTCGATGAGTTCTTAAAGCCCTATAAAGACCAAATTGTGAAAGAAACTGTAGCAGAATTAATGAAGACGCTCAAGCAAATTGATCCTGAAGTGTTGGATACTTTGACTCGATCACTTGAAAATGTGTCATCCAATACAAAACTTACAGATCATATTCCCATTGTACACTCTAATGAACAACAACGAAATGAGGTAATGGTTAATATATAATCTTTTAAAAAACACTAACTCTTATTACTGCGTTATTTCATTTTTGTTCTAGTTGTTTGATATATGATGCTTTCACACATAGGATCAATTGGATCAAGATGAAGAATTAGGATAGAAATTGATGATGCTACAAGAACTTACTTTTACCGCTGTTTTTAGCTGTTTTGCTGCTGTTTTTTTGCTACTACTGTTGTCTGATCTGTTACTGACTCTTGCTACTTTGGTTTGCTGCCACTGCTTTCTGCTACTGCTGGTTGCTGCTAACTGTTATCTGCTACTGCTGGAAGCTGCCACTCCTGTCTGCTACTGTTGGTTACTGCTAAAGACTGCTGCTAGAGCTTCTGTTACTGCTTCTGCCATTCTGCTAGTTGCGTAGCTGCTGCCATTCTGCTAGCTAGCTCTATAGCTGTTGCTATCCGCTGTTATTAATGCTCTTTACTGTTATCGCTGACTTTTTTGAAATTTGGAAGTTTTTTGTTTTTCCTTACTTTTTCAAACCTAAAGATCGAACTTAATTTTCTTTGTGTATGGATTATTATATTGTTTGGCCAAACATTAAAATTAGTGTTTATGGATTTATTTTGTAAGAATTATTAAAGTATTTCAATCCAAATTGTTTTCTATCATATGTGATAATTTCTTATTCATATAGTTGTTGTACATATAAATATTTTTTATATTTAATAATAATAATAATAATAATAACAATAATAATAACAATAACAATAACAATAACAATAATAATAATAATAATAATAATAATAATAATAATAGTAATAATAGTAATACTAGTAATAGTACTAATAGTAATAATAACAATAACAATAACAATAATAATAACAATAACAGTAGTAGTAGTAGTAGTAGCAGTAGTAGTAGCAGTAGCAGTAGCAGTAGCAGTAGTAGTAGTAGTAAATGTTACCTATTAATCTATAAAGTGTTACATTACTTTGTAAAAAGTGATTAATAATGTCGAATAAAGTGTACTATATGTCAAAACATGATTGAAAAATGTTACCAAATAATCAACGAAGTGTTACATTAGTTCGAAAAAGTGATATATAATTTCGGATAAAGTGATACTATATGATTGAAAAATGTTACTAAAGATAAGTGTTACATAAGAAATAAAAAATAACACTTTAAAAATGCTACTAAAATATAAAAAAGTGTTACATAAGAGGTTAATAGTAACACTTTTAAAAGTGTTACCATACGTTATCCAAAGTGTTACATAAGACCTTAGGTAACATGGGCGGATGTATCACCCACTAAAGTATTACCTATTGTCTATAATAACATTTTTACCAATTTATGTAACACTTTTTGGGTGTTACTTGAGGTTAGTTTTGTACTAGTGTTATTATGCTAAATGATAATATATGGTAATTATAAGTGTTATCACGATTTACAAATAAGTGAGATACAGTAATGTCTATTGACATTTAAATGAAAAGACACTTCATGTTGCCAATAAAATTTAATGCTCGGTAATTATTACTTAACTCAGGAAGTTAAAATATGGCGAAGGAAAGATTCGTGAAACAATTTAAGTACGTCCCTCCTAATTGAAAGAGTTGAAAGGGCATGTATCAAACGATGTGTTAGACGTGGCTAATTATGTGGTACTTAACACAAAACAGTCTAATTTCACAGAGTAAATTAAACCGTCAAAGTGACTCAAAAGTGATTATAAATACTTAAAGTTATTTCACTTATTTCCTTCACCTCAATAGAGGTTACTTTCTCTCTCTAAAACTCTGATCACATAGTTTCTCTCTCTATTTCTCAAAAAAGTCAACCCTTTTTCCTAAATCACAGGAAAAATACTTTCAAATGGTGAGGATTTAATCCCTATTAAAGTACTACACGTCGGAGATGATGAAGAAATTAACCAGGCAAACCCAGATTAAGGTGCAGCTGACAGATTTGGGTTATGTGCTGCAATAATTTGATACTTTAAAGTACCCCAGTGAATACCCAAATCACCATATAGCCATTAATAGGTGTTCCAAATGAAAACAAAACTACAGGAACAGGAAGAGAAACAAACTAAACAAAAGGGTCAATAAATGATGGGGGGAAAGACCAGAGATCTTGGAAGACCCAGAAGGGTCTGCTGTCCTTAACGCCTTTGTAGTAGGAGCAAATGCTGATCTCCTAAGGAATCATATTCCTTAAAATCGATGAGGAAGACAAGGCAAATGCCGCCTTAGTATGCAAAGGT